TACATGCATACCACGTACAATCGTTGATACTTACTACCCGGATAAAGACAATGTTCACCAATAAGCTCGTCACTTCCGTCATAGCAGTCTGCATTACCATCGCATACCAATGATACAGACATACACTGGTGATTTGTACATGTGAATTCATTATCAGCACACGACGCTATGGGAACAACAAACAACTGCCATTTAAATTACTTTTTGTATGGGTTGTGTATGAATAATCAAATGTGACGTTGAACACATTAACTGTTAATCGCACCATCGCTATTGTCATCATCGCTAGCTGGGGTATGTATATATTGCAGCAATAATGCGCTTATTATCGAGATAGAGTAAAACATACGGAATGAGCAGTCTTCCTCATCAGTGTTGTCTTCGCAGTCATTTCTGTAATCACATTGTGAACTGGCAGGAATACATTTACCGTTTGGACACTGAAATTCACCTTCGAAGCATTCACCTATATAATAGACAGACATTAGTGCATGCATTACGCAATAATGAAATGAAGAGTATATATGTTAAATGAGATTATGTTCAACGCTCAGTTTCATTATTTGGAATCATTCACAATAAATCTTATAAATACGCTGACAGATTTTAGAGATTTCAATAACATGGTTATAGCATTAATAATTACCGTACACACGTATTTAATAACACTTTAGCAACAATTTACTATTCCTATATCTTACTTTACGAAATATGATTTAGAATTGTTAGTGGGGTGATCCCATGTACTAATTTATGCAGTTACCATAGTTACAAACAGCTTCATCTCCTCCGTTTGGGCAATCATTTATACCATTACATTTCATATAGGATTTAACACATTGGTTTTCATCTACGTCACACGGTACATCGCCGGGTATACAAGGACCTGTGGAAAGCCAGACGTGAACTAATAAATAATTCCATTCATTTAAATTGACGTGCAGTTGTATCGAGGAACAACCGTGGCATATAATTGGTTTAAAATACGCATGGCCGAAATTATGAATGCACCAGACATGAGTTGCCCAAACAAAACTTATATCTTTTTATCACGGTTATAAGCAAACACAGAGATAGGTAACAGCTAGAAAATTGTTTGAATAAAAGTTGGAACAAAGAAGTGCATCATAAAATTATTGTAGATATCGAATACAAATGTGTGTAAGGAGTGATACATTCTAATACGTTCATCACCTCAGATACATTTAATTATAATAATAGTTTATTGACAATAGAGGGCCTCAGCTTGTGTTACAATGCTGTTTGACTGCACGCATAACGCGAGATCTCGCAGTGAGTGGAAACTGGTATATCCTCTCATTGCAGTGCCGGGAAGCAGATGAATAAGCTAGAACCACGCTGTACTAAAACGAAACGTGTAAAATATAAATTCAATTCAACCCTGTACATAATTATTTATTTGTGATCAAAACCGAATTAATTCAGGTAGTTACCCATATACGTCAAATATGCCCGCCTTTCTCTAAAGTCGTCGATATCCAATAACGCATTGTACCGACTCTCTAGCACAGCTGACTTGCGTACTTTGTTAGTATTGCATATGGTCACCGCAGGAAACGGAAGTGTGTTTCTGGAAACAACATCAATGTTGATGATGACTGGATACTCTAAAAACGTAATGATTAGCGCTATCAACTGTCCGGTGAATGCTCCAAACGCAATAAACACTACGGAAATCCATAATAATTTCGAACATCTGTTTGTTGATTCTGCTATGCGAGCTACACCGTGAGATGTTGTCCTCAGTGCAAATTCACGACTCAATTCGGAAATGCTTTTTAACTGTTTGTCTAAATTTGCTACGCCGCCAACGTTAACGTTCTCAGGAGTTTTGATACCATTTGTATTTGCAGTAGTATACTCCGAAGTCTCGGTGGGCGAGAGTCTGTACCAAAAAAATGATTCAAAAAATGAAATTAATGTTATTTAATTAAATATATGTATACACACTCAGCACAAATGTTATTCATGCTCATCTCCAGATTGTAGAAACACAAGTCATCTGACTTGCACAACGCTTAAATTTTTTGCTTATATTTACCCTTTATTTGAATATAACCATGACGACCGGAACGCAGCATGTCCCAGAACACCATCGTCATTCTGTAGAGAAAACGTACATTATTTTTTCAATGAAGCACCACACACCACGAAACGCTACATGAAAACTCAGTCTTTGTAATTAGTGCACAAGGGCGCCATCCTGAGTGCATTTTACAAGACTTGATCTGACTTCACCTCAAACCTACACTTTCGAGTGAGTGTTTCGGGTGTATACGGTAAAATTGAAAAAAACCGACAATCAGTTGCATTGACAGTATACAGGGCTGAGTGTATTTAAATTTACCTAAATACAAAAGGGTGTCACTTGGCATACGTTGGAGGCTCCACCTTCTATTTAACACAAACATGCGATGCAACATACGATAACAGCGGTATGTGAAAGCTGCAAAATTCCAACTCACACCTTTTACAGTAACACTCTGGATACATTATCATACACATGATGATTTCAAACAGTTCGGCTTGGTGAAACCCCTACATAATTGTCGGACACAAAGATTGGTGTACGTGTGTGATCGCGTGCGTGTGCGTACATGCATGCATAAACACCTTTAACATATTAAGTAAACTAGAGGTGAAAGAGGAGAAAACGGAACCACCAATCTCCACAGCTTGACAAACTAAAGATTCCCTAGCAAGTACATATGTAATTGTACAATGCACGTCCACTTGACACAACCATATTTACAACATAATTAATATAATCGATCCAACCGTAGGCACAACCTGTCACAGAAATGAATGTTTATTGTAATTGCCTGCAATATTAATGTATGTACTAGTATTATCGTTTCCAGTAATTACATTTTGATATTTCTATAGTGACTACTTCATTGTTATTGGAGAACCGTTTAATGTTTACATTTGAAACATCGTATTTGAAATCAATTTAATACACATATTGCAACATATTTATGAAAGCTGATCACGTCACAACTTGTTTTAAAATTTCGCAAATTGAATTGATTTTTTTTAATTTCACCTTATTTCCAGAAAATCTCGTATACACACTGAGTAAATGAGTGAATATGGTAGCACGTGACCAACCAAGTTTGCAAATTAGTGCTATGAAGCGTTCAAATCTTTCGATGACGCGTGCACATGCGTTTATTTTGTTGAATGGGCAAACGAAACAATTGTGTTACTATTGTGAGGTCTATTAAACGTAACAAATGTCTGTTCAGCGCCAAAACACAATATCTACTAAAAACTAAAAATGCTGGAAAGTGGAATTAATTAGATTCTCAAATTTTCAAAATGCTAGTAAAGGTTTGTTCGTCAAGCAACAAATCCACAATCCGTTCGTTTGTCACTGACACGCCAATAATGAAATAGAAAATGAAAATATAGTTGAGATAATTAAAACTATTTTCTCGTACCGCTCGTGTAATCTCACGATAGCTACACTACACTACTAACTTGAAGTACGTCTAATATGCTGTGCTGGGCTGTTAAGTGAAGCCACCATGATGTTAGCAGGGCTATTCAGAATGGCCACATAGAGCTCAAAGATTAGTGTGGTGAATTGGTTAATTCTTTAGTCCGGCTTAACAAAACTATCTTTTTTTTTTGCTAATTTTCCACTCACGTAGTTGGCAGCGATATTCGAACTACGTAACTTGACTGATAAGTAGTAAAACGGTATATATAGTAAAACGTGTCGATTGAAACCCGGCATGTGAACGCCAAGATAGGGTCGTCGCTCGGTTGGCCATTCCTATTAATTTAGACATTGTATTCGCGTGAAACCCTTCGGCAATTGTTAGTTGGCGAATTAGAAAAGAACCGAAAGCTCGGATAGATTGATGTTTGACAATACCGTGTATTGACGTTTTGTGATCCTGAAGGCACGCCTTAGAGCGCTACCACAGAGCACACAATACGGATGCGCCACAATGGGCCGTATCAGATGTATAATTTCTTTATACTTAAAATAACACAGACGCTAGAATGGTTTGTTTTCCACTTTTCAAATGATGATAATTGGTAAATAAAATTACCATAAAACAACGCCAATGTTTGTAAAGGTACCGCCAATTGAGCAATCATGATATGTGGTTATGCGAAAACAGGTTGACATACCTCTTTGCGAGAGTCCGAAGCGCTTGCCATCGCTGCCATTCCCTGTAACAACTAATAACACGTTGCTTTTAAAGCGGCATTGTTAATACTGTTCCATTCCGTACAGGGGTTGCTTGACTGTTCTCTATACGGAGTGACGTCATGCGGGTGAATGCATGCTGAATTATTCTATTAGCCAATCGAACGTGTTATATGACATCGTGACATTTTGAATGACCTTGTCAGAGAGGTTACTAATTGTTCGATGTCGGATACTTGGTAAATGGGGCGGTGTTGTCAGGCCAAGGACGTTTCAATATGTTCCGAGTCAAATCCATCAGAAGGCGTGTTTTTTTCAAAAGCCAGGTACGAGACATAATTTGATATTTAAATTCCAACCCATAGTAAATGAGAAGGATTTTATAACTGTACGCGTTCGGGTATGTGGGCTTATCTCACTCAAAAACTACCGTCTAAACCATTTGTTGATATATATTATGAGGGGGACATTTCCATACACATCTCCGATTTATCCACATCTACAAATTTGTCACCAATATATTTTGTGTATGTTTTCTTAAATATGCACAATGAGGCTGAATATTCAATATGATTTTGCAGATTACGCTATAGCGTTACCCTCTGTACTGAAACGTCTCCTGAACCCTAGATTTTTTTTATTTATAAATGTATAAATTATTTTTGAAGAGAGAAACGTGTAATATATACTCATGAGTTTAGAAGATATGACTGAACATCTTACTCAAATACAAAGGCATCAGGCCGTTGGTTGCCATGTACATATAGATACCTAGAAAATAGGAAATTCTGTAGTTAATAGGCAAGATATCATATCCTTTGAACAGCTCAAACGATGATTGGCTAAAGTTATCATAAGAAATCACCCTTTTTTGAAACTTATAAATCCGGCATAAATTTGATTAACCTGTATTGCCCGATATTGTACAGCAATAATGCAATAACGACTGGATAAATGAAAAACACAAAATTCCTCTGCTAGAAATAGGTAAAAATCTGCGAACTCTCATGAGAACACAAATTCTTGGCTAAGCTGTTTACAAAAGTTTATCTACATGAGTGGCGTGTTACATAACTGACATGCCTTGCAGCCCAGTTTGATACTTAACTGTTAATCTCGCCAGTCTCGAATTTTAGAATATATTTACACATGTATATGTTTGACAATCTTCCGTCAATAATACATAAAATATTTAATATTATTATGCATCTGTCCCCGTAACGCCATAAGTTACAGCGTGCCGTAATTTTGCGGTATTTTACGGGGTATTTCATCCTACTATATAAGGAAATGGAATGATTACGCGCGTAAGCGTCCTCTAAAAATAAAATCAAACATGGCTGCCACCAGGATTTGGCCGGACTCCACACAAAGAAGTTCGCTGATTCTGTTATAATCTTTTTGGATTTCAGCATTCCCAGGATATATCCTTGGAAGAAAAAAATGTATAAAAATAAGGTTATTACTGAGGATACCTCAAAGTATGCACTCAGACAGTCGGTCGATACTTGCGCTGTACTGTCTTTGTGCATACTTTGAGGCGTCCTCGTAGTAACCTCATATTATTTTGATCGCGTTCAATGTAATTCCATACATAGATCTTAATCTTTATTATAGAGTATGTTCAACCGCAGGTTTTAAATGTCAGTGATCGACGCGCCACGACGTGTTCAGTATTGGTTACATAGCGACGTATACTACGAGGGTAAAATATATTGATTATTTACACACAATTTGACCACCATGTAAATGGCTGATTTTAATATCATTATGTAACGACTATGGCTCCGCTAGCGCACAGTTACTTGGGTTTCATGTTTTGTTTTTAGTATATTGAAGGACTTAAATTTCTGAAACGTTCCTCTGTTCGATTTGGTTGAGCAAATTTCGTGTAAACAAGCAATATATTTATACAACATTAGTATTAGCTCCAATTACATTGTATTTATTGTTCAATCTCGCCGTTACAGTTACTTTTCATTCTTCGTCCTCACGATCTTTCTAGTTTTCATAAAAGCTGTTCGTTGTTGGAGTGACGGAGTGGGAAATAAATATTGACAACAGATTGTATATTACAATATTATGTTCATCAAGTTTGAACGTATTTGACATCGATACGTACCGACAACATGCTTTTACACGAACTCAAATATTGGCACTGTAATTATGTTACTAATTGTATTACTTTTCGTTAATATCAATCAAGTAATGTGTCATAATAACCAACTATTGTTCGTACCAGTCATTGGTTCACACGCGATTTATTGAGTGTTACCTATTTCTAGATTTCTATAACATTTCCATAATATATGCCCACAGGTTCGACTAATTCACTCTTATATCACCGTTATTTCACGTCGATCAATTCAACAAATAGTTTCAACAATATTTCAATTTAAGGATGTGTTTGACGAACTAGTAATACAAACGAAAAATTCAATAGCACGACAATTTTTCACATTTTGGCAATTGTAAGGCTTCATCAAATAAAGAGGAGGGGTATACAAACTTGTTTTCATGGAACGTTGATTTCTCTCATAACCATACGCCTACTTTAACGATCACACTTACAACTGAGTTTAATAATTAACCAAAAAATTGGCTACTTCCAATACGTTGGTAAAAATCAGTAAATTCCTAGTCCTGTGTCAAATGTGAGATAGCCGTAATACCCTTAAAAGACAAAATACATATAGTGCGCTACTCAAAAGTTCAAATAATGTTACACCTTATACAGGGTGGGGTCACCTGTAAGGACAAAATTATGCCCAAAATAAAGTGTGAATAGGGGAAAATTGTCTTAGGTTTAGATAAATATATTGACACTGCGAATAAATGTAAAAATATGTGAGGTCTTTGACAGGCTCACACTTTTAATGAGTTTAATTCTCATTACTTAGCGATGTTGCGTATGTCTCCCATGCTACGAAACATTAAA